CAAAATTCATGGAAAAGAATAGAGAGAAGCTTCAGGAAAGCAACAAGGATGTTTGCAAGGACTGACCTTAAGGGTAGACCACAGTGATCAGCATGAATAGTTTATCTTGTGGGCATGCATCACAGAAAGGGTGAGTAATCACAGCTCTCAACTAGCCACTTACAAGTGTTGGTGTGGAAGACATAGGAGTCTGTCTGGAACATGACAGGGAAAGTTGATGGTGGCGGCACATGGAGTCAGTGGTTTATGGAGGAGGCAACACTCACATGGAGGGAGGAGCAAAGGCTTTTGACTAATTGGGCTTGCTTTCCTTCCACTGGTACTCCCATTAAAATGACCACTGAGTTTATTTTGACCCCTTGTAACTGTCTCCTTGTGCTGATTTTTGTTTTGGATGATTCCTATACCACTTTCAGTGAGGGTGGGGAAGAAGATGGCACTTTAAGATAAATAGCACTTCTGGAACTAAAGCTTCTTTTGTATAAATAGTCTTAGAAAGAAACCTGCCTCTTGAGATTAAAAAAAAATTTAGAGAAAGCTAATGACATTTGCAGGGGGCCTGAAAGCAGAAAATGGAAAGCCATTTCAGATTTCTGCTTCTTTGCTAGCTGATTGGGTTTTCTCTCATGACTTCTCAAAACCAGCTTCTTGTTCCATTTGTCATTGTATTTATTAGAATCCCTCTATTGTCTGTGCTTAGAAAAATATAAACATGATATTTCACAAACTTATTTTTTTCTAGTTTATTAATTGTCTAGGACCAGGGAACCTACAGAAGTGTTATAGCTTGCTCCAACTTCTAATTGTGTATTTTCTAGGATATTCAAAATTAGAGGGGAATCTTTTGCAGTAAACTGACATAGGGGCTGGGGGGTGGTTTGATCATGTCAAAAGGTCACATTAGTCAAGATTATGTGGATTCTACACTCCTGAGAAATAAGAGTGGGAAGAGGACTACCTACTAGGTGTCCCCTCCCACTACTCAACAGTTAGACTTTTATCCTGGGAGCAGCATACATGTGGCTTGATTCCATAGTAAGCTGCAAATACAAAGATAGCCATGACTCATCCTCAAGGAAATGACACTGTTCAGTGGAGATAGTTTTGAAAGCTACTTAAAGGAAAATACTTTCTGGAGGACAACTCTTTAGGATATTTAATCCTTCTATTCTTCAGTGTAGATGGGCGGCTACATCACTGCCCTTTTGGAGGCCCTAGTTTGAAATGGCAATAGTAAGAAGACTTTAGAATGCAGGGCAGGAAAGGGTAGTGGAAAAGAGAGAAAGATTCGGAGAATGAGAATATAAGTGGAAAATAGAATAGGAGATGGAAGCTAGGAATTGTCTACACATTTCAAGATTTGCAATAGCAATGGATCTTGTACTTAACCAATCTCCCCCATTAACCCCCACCAGAACACTCCATCCACCTGATAAAATTCCCTCCGACTTGGAGGGAGCTATTACAGGTTTGTAATAGCTTTAAGTAAAACCATTTCAATGGCTCCATTCTGGTCCACTGGTATCACCAAAGGAAGGCACAGGACTCAACCCCTGGTTGAGGTCATCTATTTGTGGGTCCAGAGAATTGGAAAACCCTGGAGCATAAACCTCTTCCCTAGTCCTGAAGTCTGTGTTCTCCAAACTCTTCCTAGCCTTTCCTTCATTTGAAGATGACTCTGCTGGGTCTACAAAAGACAGTACATTTAGATAAGATGTGACATTCTATATCCAACCACCAGATGTGTGGTTTGCAAGATAAAACTTCTGCCTGCTGGAGTAGTTGAATTGCTGGCAGGAATTGCTCAGCTTTCTTAAAGGAATGGTAGGCACCCTGCAAACCAAGCTAGGCTCTTGAAATTCAAAGAAAAGATTATTTCATTGAAGTTATTGAAAATATGAATCACAGGGAGGAGTAATTCTGATCTACTTCACCTTGATAGTATCTTGAACTGGTCTCCAGGAAGGGGGCACACAGAATGACTCTTCTTCTTTGAAGAAGGATGAATGAATAAATATTATACATTTACATCTTCAAAGCAGTTCTGAACACAATCAATCAATCTAATGATGTTGATTATACCTGGGAGGTCAATGGGGCTTTCAAAGTCTCTTTATCTCAACAGTCTAACTAGGCGCAATTCTTCTTAAATAGTTATGAAAAAGGAATAGACAAACAAAACAAGCACCTGAAGAGGACACTGTCTAAAGATGTATAAGCAAACATAGCGTTCAAGACTTCAGGAATTTAGTAAGGCAAATGATTACAAATAAGAGCTTAGGCCTTTCTCAGGTGAGACCCTTTACTAGATTACAGTGTCACCTGAAAACAATCAGAACAGACACATATTTCCTTGGGTTGAACAGAAAACATGAACTTGTGTTTAAGATGCTGCGGACCTTGCAGCTACTACTCAAACCACCAAGCCCAATAGCTGGTCCCCCATATCTGAGATTTGACTGCAAAGATTAACAGCAAATCCAACGTAGCAAAAATAGTGTTGAATTAATCTCAGTTTTCAGTTAGGGGTAGATGTGAGTGTTCTTCCTAGAGCTGGAAACCCTGTTTTGACTAAGATATTAATGTGGTGCCATAGGCCAACGCATGAAGTATCCGACAGAACAGCTCCCATCCTGCATGCTATCTCTACAGGCTATCTATCTCCTGACTTGTGGTCAATGGTATTTCTTTTCAGAAAATATGACTTTGAATATTTAAGAAGCCACAAGAATATTCTTTAAAGAAAAAAGAAAAAAAATAGAACAAATTAGAAAACTAAGAATCAGTACAGAATACAGACCGAGCAAGACCTTAATTTCAGTGCAGCTTTTGCCCTAACTGTATAGGCTTGAGCAAATTGCTTCAATGTCTCTGAGTCTTGGTTTCCTCATATGTAATGCAGGAGAGGGCCATCACTCCCACAGGTAGGGAGTCTGTCAGATTAAGTGAGATGTCTTAGTTGGCTCCAACTACTGTAACAAAGTATCAGGGACTGTTGTTTAAACAACCATAATTTATGATCTTACAATTCTGGAGGCTCAGTGTCTGAGATCAGGGTTCCAGCAGTATTGGAGTCTGAGGAGGGCCCTCTTTCGGCTTAAAGGTAGCTAAATTCTGAGAAAGTGCAAACTCTCTAGGGTCTCTTTGGATAAGGGCACTGATCCCACTGAACCGGGGCTCTGCCCCCATGACCTCATTTAACTCTTCTTTCAGTCTCATTTCAAGATACTATTACTTTGTTGCTTAGAGCTTGATATGCAACACATGAACTTAGGGGCATACAAATATTCAGTTCACCACATGAGGTAGCACAGGCAAGGCTTTATAAAGTATCCCTATTGTTTTATTTTAACTACTATAATTTGTCCCAGGAGGAACAAGACCTCTAGTTGTGGGAACAGCTTCAAAAGATAATACATTAAATAATAAGTGACAAGTCATTGACATTTCAACAATAAATATCTCTAGGTAACATTATTGAGAGGACTAGAAAACTCCAGAAAATGTTGAGAATTCAATTATACTATCTTTGTTTAATGGTTTCAGTTAAAATTCATAAGAATTCATGAATATATTCACTTCCTTGGAAGAGATATTTCACAGTTGTCAACTGTACAACATGTAGAGGACCACCTTCTCAAAATGTGGATTTTGGAAATAGGCTTTTACACCTATATATTTCTAGTAGTCTAGTCTTAAGTTTTCTAAGCTTTTGGGATCTCTGGTTGTTGTAAGAAGGTTACATGAAAAGCATCTAGCATTATGTCTTGCACGTAAGAAGGTTACAATAAATGGAACTATAATTACTGGCCTACTGTCTGTTAGCCTTAACCTTGAGACCTTGGGCAAGTCATTAAGGTCTCTGATTTTCAGCTGAAAGAACATCTCTTAAACTTACAAGCTGACACTTGAGAGCCAGACATCTTTGTCCTGGCATTTACTAGCTGCTTCATGTTAGGCCAAGTTACTGAACAACATCTTTTTTTTTTTTCATTGTTTGTCATTTATTCATATGTGCATACATTGTTTGGGCTATCTCTTCCCCATGTACTCAACATCTTTACATCTCAGCTTCCTCAGGTATAAAATGGGGATAATACAGTTGTGGCAGGGATTAAATAGATGCACTTGATCCATAGAAAGAATTCACAGCAAGCTACTGGCTACCACTACAGTTAAGGAAATACAAGTGCAGAGCAGACTGGTTAGGTCACAAATGCTATATAGGCAGTAAACCTAGGATTTGGGCATAGGGGATCTAACTCTATAGCCTATGCTATTAGCCTCTACACACTTAATTCTTTATGATTTTGTATTATTTTAGCACTCTGAGCCTATTCACAAAGCCCGATGTATACTATGTTTTTTGCAATTTGGTGACAGGAAAAGCTTTGTCTCTTACCAAAAACTAGTATCCTTCCTCTTTTTGAAAATAAGAATTATGCAATTTATCATGTGCTCCTTTTTTTTTGTCTTGGATGCCAGGAAGCTCAGAGGCAAATTATGTATTCAATCACAGACACCAAATTGTCTCCATCTTCCTGTATCTTTGTTCCTTATTTTTCTTTTGAATTCCTTTTTAACCAACATTTTCTTTTGTGTTTCTCAGTAGAGGTCTCAGAGGTATTTGGAAAGTGATTGGATTGAAATAAGCAAATAAAAATCTAAAGAATACATGAAAAACTGATGTTTTCAGCTTTACCTGTTTCTTTTGCTTGAAGAAAAATGGTCAAGGGGAAATTTTAAAAGGAATAATTTCAGAATGATAAAGGAAAAAGGAAATCAACAGAAAAATAGAACAACCAATGCTACCAGAGGCCAGATCAAATGAAAACTGAAAAAAACTTCTGAGGTTAGAAGCATTTGTAATTTCTATGGTAGAAACCTATGATTTCTTAATTATATCCTGTGCGTGTTTTGCAAGATGTTAGCTGCTGTCAAGAGGAAGGACAGCTTCAGACAGGGGAGGGGTCACAGCCTGTCCCTGGGTCCTCACATACCTGTACAGAAGGGAAATCCCCGGAGGCACAGGCACCCAGAATAGCAGCACCCACGAGGACAGACTCCACCTCTTTCGACAGGACCACAGGCATGCCTGCGCAGAACAAGGCCACACCTTGGTTAGGGAGCAGGGCTGGGGGAATGTGGGGAGCCAGCAGGCTGCCCCAGTGACAAAATACCTGATGTCAAGGCAGCAGTGCCCCCCTCTTTCCCTGGAAGTTCTCTGTTCTTTGGGATTGCCAGGTTCTAGAGGATTTCTCTGCATGTGCCTGCTGGAGAAGTAGCCAAAAGCCCCAGAGGAGACAACACCATATATATCAACTTATAAGTCCTTGGTGCCCAGGTTTCCAGGCTTCTGCTAGCTGCTACCTGACATTTGGTTCAAGTTCAGGTCAACCAATGTTTATTATATGCTTTGCAAGGCCCAGGGAAGGTTGAGATAGATCAGGTTGTGTTTTCATATTCACATTTCAGAAGGTAGATGAATAAGCAAGAGGTATAGACCATGGGGGGCTGCTTCTCTGAGATGTACTAAGAGAATCAGCCAGGGGCTACTGTCTCCAGGGGCTTCCTACTTCTCCCTCAGTACCAGTCACAGTTCTTACGTGGCTGACAAGGCCCTCCTCCAGGGTCTGTTCCCACTTTTCACCCTGACCTTCTCCTCTCCTACAAGTCACATAGCCCCAGCCTCTTGGCTATTTCCTGAGAACACTCAGGGCCCTTTCAAACACCGTATTAACTATCTCCCCTTCTTCTCTGTGCAAATACCACCTTGGCATTTACAAGGACAAAGTGCCCTCACCACTTCTCATCCCTTCCCTATTTCCTCCTTACCTTCCTGGCTTCTTATTTGCTTACGTAGGCTGTTTAGTGTTTTGTTTCCCAGTCCAGAATTTATGCTCCAAGAGGGTAGGGGCTTTTCTTTGACTACTGCTGCATCGCTGGCATTTAGACTGAGTATGAGCCAGTCTAAATGGCCCATACTCTGAGACAGTGGACATCACAATGGACATGAGGTTGAAATGGGTGTTTGAAGGTGAGCAGGTTCTACAAGGTAGGAAGAAGACTTCCACAAACCAGCTCCCAGAGGTAGAGGGTTCTTGGTAGATTTAAGACTAACAGAAATAATTCAGGATTCTTAAGATTATTCACACACACACACACAAACACACACACACACACACACACACACACACACACACACACCACACACACATACAAGGTATGTGTACAGTTGGTTTCTTTGCTGACTTCATTGTGTGATCCTAGGCAAGTTACCTATACCCTCTGTACCTCAGTTTTCTCATCTGTGAAACGGTTAAAATTTCACCTACCTCATAGGGTTGCTGTGAGAATGGTGCTATTAAAAGCAAGGCACTAGCAGAAGATGGCAGCAAACTCCACACAGGTAAATTCTGTGGCCTGAAATCTTCCTCTACTCAAGGCATAAGAGTTATTTTTCCAAAGACTGTAGTTCTCTTCCTGTCTAATCTGGAAGGCCTCCCTGACATATACTCTTCTGGATTCCACTCACCCCTTCCTACAAGGAGGGACCAGTTGCCCCAGCCATTATGGAAAGAGGGGCAAGGGAAAGAACTCCCAAAGACATCTTGAGGATGCCATGGGCTTCAGGGCCAGGCCTGGATAGGTACCCACAAGCTGTCAGGTAGGTGGGGCCTCTGGTAGAAGGTCAGACCTGGGCTTGTTTTCTGCTTCCACTAGCTGAGTCCCTCAGCAACCCCTCCAAGTCTTTTAGCCCTGGTTTCCCCATGTGTCTGGTGGGGGAGAAGACTTACCACACAGGTGCACTGTAGGGATTAGTGACAGGGCACACAGGTGGGGGTCATCACATTTTCAGGCCTGTTGTAGCCTGGGAGAAATGGCAGCTGCTACTGTTAGAATTAGTATTGATGGTGAGTGAAGCCTCTATCTGCACTTTATCTGGATGGGGAGTAGAACAATGGGAAAGGACAGGGTAGATTCCCATTCGCTATTTAGAAGGAAGGACAGATACCAGGTCACATGGGAGGGTGGTAATGGCCCAGTTAGGCCAGCACTGCATGCCTGTGCAGAACCCCAGCAATGATGTGGGTGAGTGTATGACCGTGCTCACCTAGCCCTCACTTTTAGAAGACAGCACCTCCAGACTCCATTTATTCCCAGACCCCTTTTAACCTGCCCAAAGCTTCTATAGTTTGAGTGGGGGAGCGGGATTTACCACCAGATATCACTGTGCAAGGAGGGATCAGTTGCCCCACCCATCATGGACAGCCATCATGCCCCACTAGAGGCCAGAGTGAGCCTGATGAATATCCTATTAGCTCTCAGGTTGGAGTTCAAAGTGTTGGGGTTTGAATTCTGGCTTCCTTACTGACTTAGTTGTTGATGCTGGGCAGGTTACCCAACCTCTCTGTTCCTCGGTTTTCTCATCTGCAAAATGGGATTAAAATTTCGCCTATCTCACAGTTGCTGTGAGTTTTAAAAGTAAGTAACTTAAAACAGTGCATATCTAAATTAGCATTAGCTGTTACAAGTTTTGAAGTTTTCTTTATTTATGATATCTTTTTTCACCCCTACAACCTGGGTGGAACAACTCACTGCTCTATCTGCCTTTCAAACCAGTCCTACCTTATCTCTTCTCACCTGCTCTGAGCCCAGGGAGACTGGCCAGTGTGGATCATACCACTTGCCCTCTGATTATATTCTTGACTAAGCAAGCAACTAAGCTTCTGTCTCAGGCTGGGTACCTCTGTCCCCTGGGAGCCTCAGGGAACTCCCTAGTCGCCAGAGTGTCCTGCCCACTTATGTAAATAAACCCTTTATTCAACTTTTTTCCAGTTGATCCAGTGTGAGTGAGCATTTGTTCCCTGCATGGCCCTGCCACCTCCGGCCTCCAGGTCGCCATTGTGCCCTCTTGCACATTGGTGCAAGGACCATGAGCACTTTTCTGATTTATAATAAACCTCTTAGAGGACATACTGTTCTTTGCTTCTTCATGCCAAGTGCAGTGCTCCATGGGCTGGAGTGCTCAGAGTGCTTCTGAGTGAATAAATGAATGAACTGATGATTAAAATGATGAGTATGACAGGAAAAAGGAAACCCCTACTGAAACTGCCAGTACTAAAAAATAAAATTTAGAAGGAACATTTAGTCCCAAGTCACTGGGGAAACCTACAATTACTTAGTACACACTAAGTATTTTTGAAACCACACTTAACTAATGGCCATGGTACAAGGAGGTTCTTCCTTACGTCCATGACATTTCCCAAGCTGGCAAATACCCACACTCGCTCTCTGCCTGCATGAAAAAAGGCTGGTCCTAATATGGCAAAGATTTGTTTATGAAGTATTAAACCACTTTTTTTTTTTATGGTTCCTTCTCATTCTTGGCTGCTTGGAGGGAAGACGTGAACTAATATGTAATGACTGCCTACTGTGAGCCCAGAGCGAAGCCTGAAACTTTATTCCTCAGCATGATCTACATGAAGAAGATGATAACATTTTTTAATTTTCAGAAGAGAGACCTGAGGCTCAGAGAGGTAGAGTAACTTATCCCAAGTCACAGAGCTGGCTTCCTGTTCTTTCTACAATTCTGAACTGTCTCCAAAGAATCTTCCAAACTCCACTGTAGTTGTTGCTGTTTTTAAACACATTCCTGAGAGTGATGAACCATACCAATGACTCTCTCTAAATCTTTCTTTGTAGGAAAACTAGAGTAATTGCAGTGTTTCAAGTTCAAAGGCACTACCTATCTACCAGCTGCTGTGTAGTGCTTCTTATAGGACAATGCAAATGTGTTCTCTTCCTTGAGTGCTAGGGCCCTGGTGGGGGTGGGAGGTGGGAGGCTTTGCCTGGAATGTGAACTATTTTATCTGATGCATTAATGAATTTAACAGAACCCAAAGCATTTAAAGGCAGATGCACTTTGCCATCCCTTGTCAATCACAGGCCGAAGAATTCCAGGCTAAAGAAAAGATCCCTTTGTCCCAAACTGTAACTGGTCCATAGTTAGAGACAAAGGGTCCAGTTTCAATCTGAGTCCAAACAACCATTAATAGCCTTTTCATTCAACAGCCTGCTGGAAAGAAGTTTCCAAAAAGTGGCTGCACCCACCCTGGCTTCTGAATCAGCTCAGGGATGTAAGACTGGAGGATGACCCATTTTCACAAAGGCAGAGCCCAAGCGCTGAGGCTCCTGGCTGATTCTCGGGGGAGGGGAGAGATTTTCCCAATTCCTGTGCACAATCTGTCACCCAAAGCTGACTTCCATCTTTCCTTAAGCATCTTGGTAGGGTGTGTTTTTGGCTATTAGAAGGCTGGAAATTGGAAAGTCACAGACTGAATTTTAAGTCTGCACTCTATTTGAACCATGCAGATGATTTTTAGATTGAATGTGCTCATAGTTTTTCTACTACTGAGCAACATGTAAAATAATATGGCTCCTTTTTATGTCTTCCTTCTTTCTGCTTCACACTTCATGCCCACTCTTTATGGCCTACTACCACAGGTTTCCCACACCTCAGGAAAGGGGGGGTCATCATCAAATGGTGACAGAAAAAGATCCAGATACTTGGGTCAGCAGCAGAGTGTAATGGACAGTGGGTCCGGACATAGCTCATTAACAATCATAGTCCCGTCCCTTACTGGCTGTTTGACTTTGGAAAGTCAATTAATTTACCTCCTCTATCCTTAGTTTGTTTGACTGTGAGATGAGCACTAACGTCTACTTTCTAATTTCAGTGGTATAGGAATATTAAATGTATACAGATTGAGTCATACTGACACACAGGAGGCTGAGCTCATATACTGCTTATTCGAGATAAAGAACCCAGAGGATGGGGATAGTGAGGGGTCATGATGAATGGAAGTCAGGGTAAAATGGACACATGTCAGGCTGGCATTGGGTCTGTGGACAGGGGGAAATCCTTTCCTTCATCCCTCCCCTTGCTCTGTCCTGGTGCCTAGCTGCCCAGAGATGAGTCCTGGAAGTCCCCGAGAGACAATGAGGAAGAAGGAACAAGAGGAGTGAGGACATGCGATCAAGAAAGATGGGTGGCCAGGCCAGCCTTTGTACCACCAGTAAGCCTCCTGCCAG